AGTCACACACTTTTCATATAAACATACTTAATCCAAACAAATTTACTTTACTAATAAGGAAACTAAAATCAGAAAAATTAAATGACAACTTAGTGAATGGTAGAGCTGTAAATCACATTCGTTTGCAATATCCACTTTCTAGGGGTTATATTAAAATTTTATACATTTATAATTATATTAATTTGTAAACAAATTCTTTTCTAAGTAATGTACTATTTGGTTAATTTCTTTAAAAAACAGCTACAGTTAATATTCTTATTTATTTTCATTCTGATAAAAAAATACATATAATGTGTGCTCTGTAATTGTCCTCAAGTTGTGTTCCTTTGTTCATTTTACTTTCTCTACCATTTAAAAAGTTCTTTAATGGCATATGCTTGTTTTTAGAGCTTACGACAGTGTTACAAAACAACATCTATTTCAATCTATATTCAGAATGTCTTTATAGTGGAATGCTTTCACGTGATAACAGTCATAACTACTATCTTTAAAAGTAGCAGTAACATATTGTTGTTTATTCTTATATACGTGATGTACTTAAATAATAAAACTCATAAAATACAACAGATTGATGAAAACTGAAGAATCTTATTTTTATGCTACTTATTGACTGATAATTCTATTTTATTCTAAAACTGAGTAACACAGAAAATAGAGTAAATACAAAGACTTACATGAGACTTTAATAACGTAACTAATATAACTCATCAAATAACCTAATTGATATCACTGAAATAAGCATTTATTTTAAATGATGGATATAAATAGCTCCATTTTGAATATAACTGTTGCAAATATACTTTGATTACTCTGGCGATTTCAAAGTATGTCTGCATTATATTAATATATACTTTTCTGACCAACTTACATGATAAAATATTGTAGAATTATTGGTAACTATTTTTCAGCATTTGCAGTAAGAACTATGATTCCTTCTACACTATTTTTATATAAAGAATTTTTATATATAAAGCCTTTATATTAAAATAGTGTAGCACAAGAATCACCAATATACAAATGGATACATGCATATGTTTCAGCATCCTTCCCATATATACTTGATGTCAATGAATAAACAATATTTCACGTCATAAACACTGGCCCTGGCAAGCCTGATTACCACCTCATTTTAATATTTATTTACTCATCAGCGAGGAAGAATACAACTTTTTATCTCATGTATGCAAGCATATCATATAAGCTTAAGTGTGCATATCTTTCCAATAATAGTACCAGTTACATAGTAAGCATTCACTTTATTTCTATAAAGAGGTATATTCGTTTAATTTTAAAACATCTTTATTTGATTTGTACATTATTCTTCCTACGTGTATAAAAAGGCACAAATATTTAATTTCATGTAATCATTTTCTTCTGGCCTCTACTAATATCTTTCAACTAGTAGATCAAGTAACAATTATTTCCTTACCTCAAGCAGTAATATCCACAAACAGAATACTAGTCTCAAATCACCAGTTTATCCCCAGGAATTATAAATACAGGATGGGAATTTAACAAAAAGCTTTTTAAAACTATAAGGCCATTAAAGTATATCAGCAATTTAAAATGTGCACAGTTACATAAACAAATCAATGAAATGAGGAATGCCACAAAGACAGCTATATAAGAACATAATCCTCTTTTTCACAACACCTTTGAAATGGAAGTGTAAACAGGCCAAAGGCATGCATTTCTGAAATATGATACTACTGCGCTTTAAAACCACATTCCCTGGTATATCCCATCAAACACACAATTTTGATTATTTCTTTCCAAATTGAAATACAACTTTCCTTTCTTGTCTGAACTGAAAGATGTCAAAATTCTCATAAAAAGAGTTATTTTGGCAAAGTTAAAGGGCAGAAGAATTTTAAAATACTGCTTATATCAGAAGTCTGTTTGGATACTTCGAAAGAGAAATCCATAAATGAAGTGCCTTGCAGCTCTCTGGAAGAAAAAAGATCAAGCATTTTAAATGAAAAACGTTCCCAGCCAGTGATTCTTTCATCTCTATATGCAAGAGGGAGACTGGGATTCAAAAAGTTCATCAGCAACAAAACTTTACTCCGTCCCATTTAGCAGTATGCCAGTTTGTTACCTCAAGTTAGGATTACATAAGGCCGTTTTCTTTCATTAGGAAAAGTTCCTAAAATGGGCACTGTCAAGGCTGGTAAAATTGAAATCTGACCTAGTTTTTCTCCAAAGATTTCCACGGATTTTATGGTAATTCTTTCTACAGTTGGAGCTCACTTCCTTTCAAATACACTATGCTAACTGAAATATGCTAGCAAATGCTTTACTTTTCATGTGTCAAAGTAAAAATCTACAGAACATATATGAATTTGTCAAATTTTTATCTCCAATAGTGAATTCTACACTTGATCTTAGCCAAAAGGCCAAGAAGTGATCTAACAGTGAATTCTTTATACCACTTTCTATTTACATCAACTTTACTATCTACTGTAAGCCTACGATCATACTGAATAAACCTACGTTAAAAAAGTTATTCATGTGGAGTACATTAACAAAATGGAAATCAACTGATTAGCCCCATAGGTAAGTTTGATAAAACACAAATATATGAACTCTTTAAAACATACTTTATTTGAAAGAAAAAGATTATTTGTATTGATCACAGGGCTATCATGTAGTTTTCTACACTCCTTTTAAAAACGAAGCATTACATTCCCGAGAGTGAAGAAGGTTGATGAATTAAAATAAAAGCCACTAAAAACTTGTTTAAAAAGGAAAACTATCCAGTTGTCACAAAATAAATTGAGAAATGCATTTCAAGTAAATTCCCCAATCAACCACATACCATCACACTTACAGGGTTTTATATTATTCTTGTAATTCAAGTATAAACACTGTAATTGTCCTGCAATCATTCTAGAGAAATCACTAAGAAGTTCACAGGATTTAATTTTGAATAAAAGGGTAAGAAAGCATGCAGTCTATGGAAATTATATGCATATGAAAGCATAGCACAATACATTTTCATCACCTGATTTATAGTGAGTAATAAATCACTTCTTACATTCACTTTTAAGACTTCAAACTTCATTTCCTGAACTAAAGTTTAAAAGTATAAAAATATGGCCTGTATTTACTATGCTTAATTAATCATTTAGCTATGACTTCCATTGAACTAAATGAAGATAAGTTGGTCATAAATATTTATAATAAGAAAAAAATTAACTTCATAACTTAAAGGATATCCATAGAACTTTATATTGTATATCCCATAAGATAAAGTAAATAGATATAATAAATACTATAATAATGGACTTCAGTTTCATCAAAAGAATAATCTTAACTAGACATTTATTACCCTAACTTCAAGGTTCTTTAGAATACACAGGAAATAAAATTACTCTATGCCCATTAAAAACCAAAGCAATATGAAACAAAATATCACTGTGTGTATTTCTCCTATTTTATTAATAGGAAAAACTCCAGGACAAAAGTTCTCAAAACAGGTAATATTCTCTATGTTCAAACAATGTATAATTCAAGAATAACTAAAATGAACAAGGTTTAAAGAACACTTTTGGTACCCTTAAATTCTAGTAACAAACACAGAAAAGTAACAATAAAAACAGTAATAATCAATACTCTCCAAGTACATGTAACTAACCTTTGACTACTACTCAGCTGAGGTCTAATATATACTGCTAACATTAATCATATAAATATATAATAAATGATTCAATCTTGAAAGTTGATATTATAAACTATGGTGCTTAATAAAAATCCTAAATAAGAAAACACAAAATTATAAACATAAAGCAATAGAATTTCGTAAATAAAGCTAATACCCTATGATAAAAAGAACTGGAATGAAGGAGCAGATAGGCAGATTTGCAGGCTATATTGGGGACTGAAAACTGAAGTTAAAATTCATATTAAGACATCTATGTCCTCAGATTAATTACTGATATTTCAATACTTATGGCTATTGTAACTCCTATTTCAGAAAAAGTAAGAAAAGGAGAATAAATGAGGCTAGCTTTACCACTACTGCTATATATAAGTTATAACTGTAGTTTCAATCTTTTTCCCTACTTCTTTCTTGTATCATAAATGAATATATTTATGTCCTTTCTTTCTGGCTCATATGCATAAATCACTTTTTGAAGGACTGCCTATTATAAAAGCGCCAAATCTTGTGTGTTAATAACAAAATAAAACTCATTTGAGTTAAACACTCAATGGGAAAAATAAGCATTAAAAGTTATCCTTGTTATAGAAATAAAACTAAATTCCTAGGAGGCTTTATAGGTGAATGATAAAATATGTGTTTTGGCTCAGCAAATAGAACTCTAAGGAAAATCAGAATAAGCCTAGTTAAGCTAAATATACTTAAAATATTTTTCTGTATTTTGTTTACATGTAGAAAGGGGAAGTAGAAATTGTAATGCTGTTACAATATACCCATACCCCAGTTCTTGTTTTCTTTTTGCCTAGTAGAACGGTATATTATAGAAGGTGGTGAGGATGACAATGACATAATGACAAATAGGAATGGAGTCAATGCGAATGCAATAGGCCAATCTAGCTTTTGAGAAGAGAATGGTTTTTATGATTGGTTTTACTGAATTGCAAGTAATTAAAAATGTATTTGGACAGACGTAGAAACTTTAAAAAATTGTGTCCATAAGCATTCCCATTCAGAGATAATACTTCAATGAAACCTAATTGAGAAGATGCACATATGTATTTTGTCTAAACTTAAAGCCCCAATTTCTTAGAAACTGACTTAATTTCCTCTGAAAATATCATTTGTGATAATAGAGGAAAACATTTTATTTCCTGTGATTTCTTAGATAAGAATACAATGACCCGAATCTCCATAAATTCTGCTAAATAAGCAGTGCTAAATCACGCTGGCCCATGTTAGTGTTTTAGCCTAGAAAAGTCACTGCTAACACCAAAGCAGATTAGTCTGAATATCATAATTCTTAAAAATATATGTGTATTATTGAGATGTCAACACTTACGGCTATCGTAACATATGTTTCCTAGAGCCCTGCCCGTTTGAAGCAGCACTTCCTGGTCTTTGCTATTTAGCAGCTGCACCAGTGGTGAAATCAATCCAGCATCCACACATGGAATTCGCATAAACTCTGAAAATAAGAGACATATTAATTAAAAATCTAACAATTCACAATTTACATAAATCACCTCCCCTAATAAAATAAATACCTACTTTTAATATGTAGTATTTAAAAGTCACCTTGAAAAGGTGGCTGAATATTTGAAGAGTACATTTCTGTTCAAAAGTACCCTGTTCCAGCCCTACTAAATGCTTCATAAAATACACAAAACTGACTGGGGTCATATTTTTGTTTGCTGACAGTCTCTGCCATAAACCAAAGGGATTTTTAATTAACTTATGTCACAGCTAATTTATCATTATCTTCTCGTAATAACTGGATGTGCTTTGGAAGCATTATGTGTGATGATGGAAACAATGGCAATGTATTTCTATGAGCCTGATAATTAAAGTACTAGAGTTATAAGCTAAGCCATCATAATGTCTAATTTTTCACTGTTTTCTAAAAAAGCTTATATATATATATATATATATAGGCTATATGCATATAAATATATATGTTTATATATTTGTTTATATATGTAATGTTATTAAATACATATAAACATATATTTTTATATATATAGCCTATATATATATATTAAAAAAAAGGTTTCAGTGAACCGTTAAAAAATAATATGTCCTTTTTGATTGGTAAGATACGGTGGAATCATCCTCTTCTTATCCTCACTCCCGTCCTTTATTAAAATCCATTTTATGGCTCATTCATATCTGCTGCTATACCCACACACTTACAGGTCTAAGGAATCAAATGTTAAGATTTCTTAAATTTCAAATTCATTTTTTCCTTATCTTTATGGCATGCCATTCTCTTATGTATTAACTCCCCATGATACCACCACAGTCATGATTAGAAAAACTTTTTTTTTTTTTTTACAGTGTCTCATGATGGACTACTACAAAACATAAGGAAATATGTAACTGGTGAAATTTCTCCAATAACCAATAACTGAATTACCTTTTTGGACATCACAACTCACCATAAGGATGTTCTGGTTAATAAAGTTAGTTAACAAAGAACTAATTTATCCATCTGTAACTTGTCCTACTAGAAAAATCACTACCTTTTCCCTCTATCAAGGTGGTCTACCCCTTACTTTGTTCCACAGATACCTTCATAAGCAATCCTCCCTCTCTTTCCCTTCATTTTCAAATTCTTAGAGCATACCATATAGGATATTCTGTCAGCTGTCACCTCTGAGACAACTTCTTTTCCGCCTAAAATAGCTGTAAATCACAGAGGTATTCCTCTCTCCCTAAATAAAGGATTTAATTCCTATCATCTCCTTCTTTCTTACTCTATCACTGAAAAATCCCCTGTCATGTAAACTTCTGATTGAGATTATTTCCTATCTCAACAACTAAGCTTTGAGTTTATCACTGATGTTATCAAACTCAATAGTATTAAGTATCCTACTACTCATGCTAAGAAAATGAATTATCCTATACATGTTCAAGAATTCAATGACCATCTATAGGAGAGGACACACCAATCTTCTTATCGACCTCTTTAGTTAATTGTTACTTGACACCCTTCATAGATTTCAAAACTTTTTTTCCTTGAGACAAGGCCTTACCCTAACACTCAGGCTGGAATGCAATGGCATGATAATGGCTCACTGTAGCCTCGAACTCCTGAGCTTAAGGGATCCTCCCTGACCTCAGCCTCCTGAGTAGCTGGAACTACAGGCGTGTACCACCAGGCCTAGATAATTTTATTTATTTATTTATTTTTGAGACGGAGCTTTGCTCTGTCATCCAGGCTAGAGTACAATGGCGCAGTCTTGGCTCACTGCAACCTCTATCTCCCGGTTCAAACGATTCTCCTGCCTCAGCCTCCCGAGTAGTTGGGACTACAGGCTAGTGTCACTACACCCAGCTAATTTTTGTATTTTTAGTAGAGATGGGGTTTCACCATGTTGGCCAGGCTGGTCTTGAACTCTTGACCTCGTGATCCACCTGCCTCAGTCTCCGAAAGTGTTGGGATTACAGGCATGAGCCACCATGTCCAGCCAATTTTTAATTTTTTTATAGACAGAGTTTCACTATGCTGCCCTGGCTGGTGTCGAACTTCTAGTCTCAAGTGATCCTTCCGTTGTGGCCTCCCAAAGTGCTAGGATTATAGGTGAGAACCACCAGGCCTGGTCTAGATTTCAAATCTTAAATTAACATACTACTAACTCATATTAAAGACAGATGTTCATTATCCTTTTCACTGAAGTATGCCTGGTTCCCAACAGTAAGGTGATTTCATTGATTACTAAAACAAGAAATTTAGGAATGGTCTGATTTGCACTCATTCATAAATAAAACTTGTTTATCTTATTATTTTACTTGTTTTGTTACTGCTATTCTTCAGGCAATGGCAACATTGATGAATTGCTGTGTTTCTTTTATGTTTTGCCTATATGATACCAATCTTTCAAAATTTTGACTCCACAATCAATAGTTACAAGTATTCTTGGAATAGTAGAGGGTAAATAATTACAGAAAAATTATGGAATCAAACTCTTTGGAACCATTTTTTACTCAAAAACATATAAAGATAAAACAAAGCTAATATATTCCTCAGCTTTTAGTCACTGTCAGTCTCTGGATAAAGTAAAAAAGAATTTCTTCTAAAAATCTTTTGCTTTTCAGCTAATTTACTTTTTTAACCAAAGAGTGGTAGCCCTCGCTATCTAATTTTAAAGACATAAAATTATCATGCTTCAGGCAGATATATTAAAAAAAAAATGCCAGGGATGTGTAAGAATATGTTTAAAATGTTATACATACTACATTAGAGAAGCTTCAGAATGGCTGACAGTCATCTTTCTTCGAAGGGGTTCCTACTACCTATACCTCTGCGTTTCACATCAGCTACCTTTCACAGCTGGCTGGATTCTGACTCAATAGCCTAAAAAATGGTCTACTTTGAAAGATTTCCTAAAGAACAATGGCAATGAACTTAAAAAGAAACAGACAAAAACTCAGATTCTCTCTAGGTAATCTGAACTCAGAGAACTGAAAATTTTGGTTCGGGGAGGCGGCAGTACTGCAAGGGAAAGAGGCTGAAACCAAGATACATGCAGAATGACAGCGAATAGAAATCAAAGTTAGTGGATGCCATTATGCTGCAGAAAGCAGGAGCCATTAAGTATTTCTGCATATTTGTATTTGCCTACACAACACAGAATTCATTTTTTTTTTCTTTGCAAAACGTGTAGGTTAATGTAGAAATTCAATGCAGAGGTTTTAAGGAAATAGGTACTGCTCTATTTCAATATCAATAAAAATAAAAAGTTGATTTCCACCTAAGACCAGTGTTGTTCCCTTTGACTGTAGTAATATATTCATTAAATAATTGTTGATTATTTCTATTCTTTTCTAAATCTAGAGTGTTAACGTTTTACTTTCTTGCTTTTACTTTCTCAAACCTACTTGAATTACACATTTATTCAGCAGCATCATAAAGTACAGGCTGTGATGAAAACCACAAAATAAAATTATCTTCTTTTATATACACTGAGATTTATATCCCCCTCACATCTCCTCAAATATTAAAAAACCTAATGTCTACTTTCTCCACTTTCAGCTACCTGAAGAAACTATTTTATTAAAACTCTTTTAAACCAAAATTTTCAAGCCAAATAAAAACAATGAGTAGTAGAGTCCACCTCAGTGTTTATTAGACTAAATCATTATATTCACGTTTGAATTTTCTCTAATAACCTCCCTGTGTTAATGCTTAGCTTTTTATATTTTTATTCTGAAAAACAAGGAAAACCATGAGGCATGAATACAAAGAATGAGTCACTTTTATATGTGGGTTGTCAAATTGACATTTATATTTTTCATTCACACTTTGTACTGCCCTTGTTTTTAAAGAAGTACTGGCCGGGCACAGTGGCTCATGCCTGTAATCCCAGCACTTCGGGAGGCTGAGGGGGGCAGATCACGAGGTCAGGAGTTCGAGACCAGCATGGTCAATATGGTGAAATCTCATCTCTACTAAAGACACAAAAAATTAGCCGGGCGTGGTGGCGGTCGCCTGTAATTCCACCTACTCGGGGGACTGAGGCAGGAGAATCACTTGAACCCAGGAGGCAGAGCTTGCAGTGAGCCGAGATCGCGCCATTGCACTCCAGCCTGGGCAACAGAGTGAGACTCTGTCTCAAAAAAACAAAAAAGAAAAAGAAAAAGAAAAAAAACGTACTGATAATAATTCTTACAAAATGACGGAGGTTAAGCTTCCAACACTGAGGTCTGAAGGTATACTTTCAACTACTTGACAACACAGTGCATTCTTCTGGAGTCTCAACTTTATTCAATGATTTTTCTAGGGCACACACGCATTTCATACTAAAATAAACACGTACATGTACCTGTTATGGAATAGAGGGCAAAATTAAAATCAATAAAATAGAACAGGAGACTTCTGTATTTCTGGTTAGTGCTCTTCCCAGGTCCTCTTGGGTGTAAACTTTCACTCTTTCGTTGTTAAGAGCACTCAGGTGGAAGTTTTGATAAACACTTTGCAATATGATAAAGTACACAGAAGAACAAAACAGCGTAATGTTAATCGAAACTCCTGATTCTGTACTGCTTTAGACTGAAACTTGGTTCTCAAGCTTTATACTCATCAGTATCACCTAGAAGACTTGTTAAAACAGATGGTTGGGCCCACTCCTGAGTCCCTGATTCAGTAAGTCTGGGTGAATGGATCCAAGAATTTGCATCTAACAAGTCCCCGGATGAGTCTGTTGCTGCTACAGGTCAAAGGCAGGGAACTGCTATAGAAGAACAGACAAACAGCAGTTCAACTTTTGCTGGTTTTTACACATTTTCACATCAGTTACCAGCCCAGTCTTTCATGTTACATGCTGCTACCCCTGTACTCAGACCACCTCTACACATTCCACTGACATCATAAAATTTCATTTACTGAAAAGAAATGAAAGGAGAGAAACAAACTAGTGAATAAAATCCAACTATTATCACTTAAGTGTGACGACAGTCAAGATATTTAGCCTCTGTTTTCTCATGTGTATAAAATAACCCTATCTCATAAGGGATTGAAATAATGTAGACAACACTTAAATTATGTGAGCACAAAATCATAGCTAGCATTAGGAAGTATTACTATTATTATTAAATACTTTTGAGAGTCCAATTCTGAAATATTCACAGATATGTCATATCTTGCTTATTTGTCCTTTGCCTCCTATCAGTCTTAAGTCTATTATATAAAGGAATAATACATTTAAAAGGTCTAAAAAATCTTTTACTATAATTTATGGTCAAAGCTACCCTCCCACATTAAACTCGCCCATGGAACTTCTTACAAATCCTCTAAATTTTGAATGTCAGCATAAAGGTGTGTTAATTTTTAAAGATTCTTTTTCTATGTACAAAAACCTATTTGGGGTTTACGTGAATCGAAGAAGTATAAGCTAATATTTCTCCTCTGTGCACAGTAAAGATGAACAAATTACCTTCCAACCTCATATTCTCTGGTTCATACAATCTTTTTCATTGTCAATTTCTACCAAGAAATACATGCCCAATCAGTATACTATGTTGTGCCAGGTTGCACTTCTGAAGTTATGTATTTCTTTTGAAAAGAACACTCAATGGCCAGACTCAGTGGCTTATGCCCGTAATCCCAGCACTTTGTGAGGCCAAGGTGGGAGGATCCCTTGAATCTAGGAGTTCAAGACAAGCCTGGGCAACATAGGAGACCCTGTTTTTAAGAAAAATAATAATAATTAAAAAATTAGCCAGGCATGGTGGCACATGCCTATGGTCCAGCTGCTCAGGAGGCTGAGGTGAGAGGATTGCTTGACCCCGGGAGGTCAAGTCTGCAGTGAACCGTGATTCTGCCACTACACTTCAGCCTGGGTGACACAGTAAGACCCTGTCTCAAAAACAAACAAACAAACAACAACAAAAAAAACCACTCAACAAGATTCTGGTCCACTTTCTCAGCCAATCACTTAAAAAAGTAATTGGCTGTGGTCATGGAGTAATAAACACCAATGTATCGTATTTATTTTAACCAGTGGAGGTTAGTGATATGCCCTTTATCAGCCTCTGATTAAAAGCATAAACATTAAAAATTCTATTATGTCTTTAGAACATAGCTATCATCTACTAGAGTATTACTACAAGAAACTCTTCAAAGCAGAGTTGTCATGAAATTGTGACAGAGCATTATGAGGAATTTTATTAAGTAAGACAATAGAGGAATGGCAATCCATTTCACAAAAATCTGTTATCTAAAATTTCTGATTTTACACTACAAGAATGCTTAAGAAAAAGGATTTTAAGATAAAAATTGTGGAGTCTCTACCTTGATTTCTGGAACTCTATACTGTGACTCTAACAAAGTTAGAAATAAAAGACTTGTTCTTAAAAACCAAGATGCTTGTATCTAAGAAAATTCAGATAAGGGTTGGTCCAGGTTAACAAGCAATGTCTGGAAAGAATTCATTTTCAAACTAGATCTGCTTCTTAGATGTGACATATAAGAGTGATAAGTGGCCAATTTTCTAACAAGCACCAAAAAATGATATACCAATATGGAATCTAACTTGAAATGCATTTTCAGAACCTCTACACAAATGACAGTTTCATACAATTTTCTTTTTGGCAACACACCTAAAAATACATTGTTTAACCAGCCCAAACCAACATATACTGACTGATACTTTACAAAGTCACCTGCCATGATGAAGCCAGAATTTTTAAATTCCTTCCCTTTAAAGAATAATATATGAATCATATTACAATAAAAGGCTAAAAAATAATGTAAAACTGACAAATTGAGGCACACTAAAGGTATTATATATAGTATGGCCTTCTCTTATGCTTAAAAATTGTTTTAGGAATTCAGTGTTTTTCTTAAACTGACTGAACTAAAACCACTTGCAAATATTTATGCTATAATTCACCCAAAGAATCTCTCAGTGTATAAATAGTACACTGGATTAAGTATTCTATAATCTAAACTTTGTTGTCATTATTGTTTTTCCAAAGTATTCTTACATGGAAACTTAAGAAATATATGTTTTCCACAAAGGTAAGTGTAGAAAATAGAACATATATTCCAACTATACTGTTGAAGTGCCAATGTCGGAACAATAGGCAAAACTAAAAAAGAACAGTGAGTTTATGTGGGTATAACACAAACAAACATAAATATTTAAAAATATATTATCTCTTATGCCAATAAAGATGAATGACTCGGTGGGAAGTTCAAGAATCTTATACCAAAAGTAATAAGTAACACAGGTACAGCTGAGGGCAGCAGAGCTTTCCCATAATTCTACTGAGAAGGAATGGGTTATCAAATGAGACATGTATGAATGACTGTAACTATAGCCATTTAAAACAATTACATGAAGAGTCAAACAAAAGATAGATAGAAATAAAAAACATCTAATCTACAAAATTAAAACATAAATTAATAAAGCATACTGACAAGTAAGATGTAAAACTGAAGATGTTCCCAGCAGAAAAGTTCTTGAGGTAAACCTCACCATTTTTGGCTACTTCTGCTACGATGTTAGCTACTTTGGCTTTGCAGGAAGACTGTGGAGTCAACAGACTTGCAAACAGCTGAAGTATTCCACTTGCCTGGATTTTTTCACTTGTTTCCGTATCTAAAAGAGATATACAAACAAAGAGCGTCAATGAAAATCTTTAATGGTAAGACTGACAACCGTTATCTACAATAAATTATTCAAGAATTTTTCCCACCCATAACATAAATTAGTTTCAGTATACATTCAAATATATGTGTTTATATAAAATTACTTTCTGCTCCACAAGCTGCTTTTACCTTGAGTTTTAATCTGCACAAAACACCTGATAATATATTTTGTTTATTTACAGCCAGACTATAAAGTTCTCTCTGAATATATCATTTGTGTACCAAACTTCCTCTCAGTGTTAGTTCTAACCCTGTCTATTCAGAATATAAATGCTTTTTTTCTATATCTCTTCTGAATTCTAAGAGCTATCACTTTATATAAACTCTATGGTTCTCTACAATGCCATAGGCAACTTTTAAAAATGGCAATTATATAGGCAAAAAAACTCACCTCCTATCATTTTAAATGGAATGAAAAGTGATAGTCAAGGGATTACATGGTTCCTATGACTACTATGTTTTTCATACAACTCATTCACATCACCATTAATGAAGAAGGGAAATAGCACATTGCAACAACCCATAGTATTCTGAATTCTATTTGGTGACGCAGAAATTCAAAAGGCCCTACTTCCTTCCTTTCCTTCTTTTTAAAATACAAATAACGGGCCTAAAAACAAGCTACTTCATGTATGTTAAAAAGAATGACCTATTAAAATATAAGATAAAAATAAAGAAAAGCTCAAAGAAATAAAATGATTACTTGTGAACAATGAAGAGAAATGGCATGTGTTTAAAGCTAGAGGGTTATAAGGCTCATTAAAACATTCAATTGAAATTTGTTTCTATATGTAGCTCCTCTATGTCCTTTAGGTCCTTGGATATACATACAAGTAATAGAGAACCCTAAAAATTTCTTGTTAACTAAATGGTAGCTGATGTGATCAGTAAAGAGTAGGAAAATCATTTTTTATAATTTGAGAAAGTCCACAAAAAAGTAAGTAGCATATTTCTTTATAATAAGTGCTGATTGTTTAATACAGTTTTTCAAACTGTGGGTCCCAATCCATTAGTGAGCACTAAAATCTACTTGGGGAATGAAGACTAGAAACTGGTTAAAAAGAGAGAAAGAATTAACATCATCTACAGCAACAAAAAAGAGAAAAAAAATTGCACATGGTAAGGTCAAACACTACTACTGAAATTTTGGTATAAATTATGTATATGCATATGCATATGTAACTGTAAGTATATACGTACTGTATGTAACATGTATTTCTAATTATGGGTTTGAGGAAAGCGAAAAACCATTGTTCCATGTACCCCTTGACTACCAGGATTTGGAGTTAAGGAATGATAACACTCCAGTTTATGCTTTTATTTTATTGGACTAAAAAATACGTTTTTATGGTACCACTTGAAAATGTGACACCTATTTTTTTTTTTAAGCAAAAAGCCATAAAGAGCTAAACTTAATTTGCCATGTTACAATCTTTTCTTTTCTGACCATTGCTACCAGAAGATATATAACCTTAGAACATTGGGTCATACTGCCCCAGGGGTCTAGCCCCACCATCTGCTGGTACTGGGATGACAGCAAGTGTCTGGCATAAGGCATGAATCATGATTAGATATGAAGCCGAGGCATTTGTTGTGTGTGGAGGCGAGCAGTTAACTGCAAATCACCCATGCATGTCTCATTTAACTATAACTAAAAGAGTGGCTTAATATCAGAGTAGAATGTCAGGGGCAAGGGGAAAACCAAACAAAACAATGCTAACTCTTGCACTCCAATGACACTTTCCACAGATTAAATCCAGGGAACTGGGAGAATAGCTGTACTAAACAGGAATCCAGAATTTGAAAATAGTATTTTCACTGCTATTACCAAAGAAATAAAAGGGAAAAATATAATCTGTTTTTTCATATAAATCTGATTTACAATTTAGAAAAATCTAACAGGGATTATTTTTACCTGCTAGCATATAGATTTCTATATAGGTTTAGAATGTAAATGTCTGGGAACTACCATTTTTCTTTGACATAAAAAAGTAAAGAACAAATTTGTACTTTATCACAAAAACACCACTGTCCAATAATTAATTACAAAGTGTATTCTTTTTTATTTTTCAAGCTTTTATTTTACATTTAGGGTACATGGGTAGGTTTGTTACATGAGTAAATTGCGTGTCATGGGGGTTTGGTGTAAAGATTATTTAGTCACTCAGGTAATAAGCATAGTACCCGATAGGAAGTTTTTCAATACTCATCTTCTACCCTCCCTCCTCAAGTAGGTCCCAATGTCTACTGTTCCCTTCATTGTGTCCATATATCCTCAATGTTTAGTTCCCACTTCATATATATATATACACACACATATATATGTGTATATATATATTTTTTTCTTTGATGAGACAGAGTCTTGCTCTTTCAACTAGGCTAGAGTGAAGTGGTGTAATCTCAGCTCACCGCAACCTCTGCCTCTCGGATTCAAGTGATTCTCATGCCTCAGGCTCCCAAGCAGCTGAGATTACAGGTGTGCACCCCAACACCCAGCTAATTTTTGTATTTTTTAGTAGAGATGGGGTTTTGCTATGTTGGCCAGGCTGGTCTTGAACTCCCAGCCTCAAGTGATCTACCTTAAGTGGTTCCCCAAGTGCTAGGATTACAGGCGTGAGCCACCATGCCTGACAGCTCCCACTTAAACGAGAATGTGTGGTCTTTGGTTTTTTGTTCCTGCGTTAGTTTGCCTAGGATAATGACCTACAGCTCCATCCATGTTGCTGCAAAGGACATAATCTTATTCATTTTTATGACTGTGTAGTATTCCATGGTGTATATGTACCACATTTTCTTTATCCAGTATATTGTTGATGGTTATTTAAGTTGATTCAATGTCTTTGTTACTGTGAATAGTACTGCGATGTGTGTGTGTCTTTATGGTAGAATGATTTCTATTCCTTTGGGTACATGCTCAATAATATAACTGCTGGGTAGAATGGTAGTTCTGTTTTAAGTTCTTCGTAAAATTGCCAAACTAATTTCCACAATGGCTGAACTATTTACCTTCCCATCAGCTGTGTAAAAGCATTCCCTTTTCTCTGCAACCTCACCACTCGTTATTTTTTGACTTTTTAATAGCTGTTCCAACTTGCATAAACTACAAAGTTTTAACTTCATTTCATATATACTTTTTGCACCGGCATTACACTGTATTTCAAAATGTACACTGACCTGTGAACTGAGGATGTTCTCAGGTTATCTGTGAAAATCCTTGAAACAATTTTAAAATGGCACTAAGGAGTAGTCAGAGGTTGATGTTTACATGTCCAAATGAATGCCTACTTGTTAAAACAAAACAAAACAAAACAAAACAAACAAACAAAAAAACAAGATAAAAAACCATGCACTGTGATCAGGACTCTTCACTATCTGTAGCCAGACTACTATTGACATTTTAACCACACTCCTTTTTAATGTTTGCAGGAATCAATTCAACATCTTTCTCCTCCTTCGCATCTAGATGCAGTCATAAAAACGTTTGAGAATGCCTACAAATTCTAGGCAGCTGGCAGTTTTTGAATTTTGAAGGACCCATATATGATGGGCAATTGTTACTTTAAAATAGTATCTGTGGGAGCTGGGACAGGAGTCATATCCATCACAATAGCCCTTGAAGTTCTTCTAGCACTCATTCTGTCCCTGAAGCCCTATGTCCTCACTCCATCTGACCTCCTGGTGGCAAGGAGGCAGCTTAGTTATGACACTGCCAGATATCGGAAAGAAAAGGAAAATTGGGCGATCAGGCCAGAGAAACTTGAAAGAAGAGTAAATCAAGAAGCCAGGCTATAATGTCATATGAGCAGAGGCTAAAGCACAACTCACGCAATTCCTCAAGGCCAATACAAATTATTACAAAGGAGGGAGTACGGAGAATGGGAGGGAGCTCATAATTTAAGGTTATAGCTTGAGAAAGGCTCAAGTTCCAAACACAACTGCCAAGTAAATATATTAAAATAATTGGCTTTACAGTTAAATACCAAGAGGGGATTTCCAGGTATGCTACTACAATAAACTGAATTTATGATGTTATATTAGCATACAGGTTTCATGAGGATAAACTAATGAAAAGCAAGTGATAATCAATTTATAGTAAACCCCAAGTTAGAAAAATAAAAATAATGACTGCTATTACTAAGACTCTATTAGGTTAAAAGTGTATTTGGATTAGATTGGTAATATAGCTTTAGAGCAATAAAAAACATTTTAAGTTTTACTTAGAGTTGTAAGAACAATAAAGAATGGTAAAATAGTGGCCTAGGGATCCTTATGGCAGACTGTGAGAAGACAGGTTTTCACTGAAGGCTCAGACTTGGGATTAACGACAAGGACCAGAAATATGAATCAAAGCGGGGCCATGGGTATCAAGATTTCTGGGGAACTGTATATCTCTCAAGGGGTAGATTTTAAAAATAGGGTGTAACAAAGAGAGTCCTATGCTGCTTTGGGTGATCTGATCTAAACCCAAGGCTTCATTTACCAAAGAGACAGGTCTCCAATCCTCTCTCCTTTTATGCAACAGTAAACAAAACATTTGCACTTGGGTATACGCTAAATACCTCAAATTTAACAAAATCAAAATCAAATGTACCCTCTTTCCTTTAAATTCATTTTGGTCTCTATCTCAGTGAATGGTAGGAAACCCATTTAAGCCAAGAGCCCTAGAATAATTTTAAAATTTTCTCTTTTAGTGAATAACTTCCTGCCACCTACTTTTAATCAGAACATAGGTCCCACAGATTCCATTTCACTATTGTTTTTTGCATCTATCTTCTCCCTTTCTACATTCACATTACTTCAAGCTCTCAGTTCAGACCTTTGTTAAATGCAACAGCCTCCTCAAGTCTCCCTAACTCCAGTTTGCCTCCCTCACCCCATTCGCCATCTTTCATCTACAATAGTACAAGAATTAACTTCTGGACATGTAAAGTTTATATCATTCCTTTAAAT